CGCGCCGGGGGGCGCCGCGGGGCGGCTGCGGGGGCGCGGGGCCCGCCGCTGGGCTGAACCCCGGCGGTGGCGGCGGCGGCGGCGGCGGGCGGCAGCGGAGGCAGCTGCCGCCTCTGTCCTCGGGTCCGCTCCGCTCTGCTCCCTGGTGTGTTGATTCTTCCCCCAGCTGCTGCCTAATGGAGTCCAGGCGCTCGCGTCACAGGAAATGCCTATACTGCCCTCCTCACTCACTTCCGGTGGCAGGTATGGAACCTATAGGGGGCCTGTCACTCAGCACGTGCGCCGGGGGCAGGCCCGGGGTTCAAGGGAGGGAGGCCGGCGGGCCGGCGGGGTCCGACGCGACCCCAGCCCTGATTGCGCCCCGGCCCCGGCCCGGCTCGGGCCTCTTCCTCTGCGCCCTGGCGGGGCTGGCTCGACGAACAAGTTCGGAGCCGCCCTCCCGAGGCCGGGCGTGCACGGGACGGCAGAGTTTGCGTGCGTGCGCGTGTACACCAGTGTGACCTAGAAATGTAAGATGTGCGGAGGGACTGCACATTCTCCGTCACGGGCTGAAGGTGGGGGTCGAGCAGGTGGCAAGGTTTTCTAGCAAGAACTTCCAGGCCCAGGGTTGTGGTAGGCCCCTGTGGACCCGCCTGATGGTAACCAGGACAGAAACTAGCATTCACAACCTCCGCGGTTTAAGGTGGAAAAACTTGAATTTCCACAGCCAAGTGCTACACACGGTTTTTGTATCCGGGGCCATCCCAGGAGGTTTGAGATCATGAGCAGGTGAGACTCCGTGCTCCACCCTGCAAAGGCGAAATAGTCTATAGGAGCGTATCCGATGGGGACAAGAAGCCACAAAAAGGCTGTGTGTAGAGAGGGGGAGGGACTTGGCCGTTGGGGCTTCAGTCTTTTTTAGCACTTGCCCAGCACCTCCTCCTTTCCAACTGCCTCTTGAGTCACTGCCCAGTTTAGGGAGCAGTAACATAGACCAAACACTTGCCTCGAAAATATGCGTCCTAAGAAGAATTCAGGCTCCAACTCAGATCCGGGCTTGAAGTTTTTACTTGACGTGTGAGGCTTCCGTGTCATCATGACTTTCCAATGTACGTGGATGTAGAAATGCAGTGACAAAAAACTAGGTTGAATCTTAATCACTGGCAAATGTTCTACATTACCCCCAAGCAATTATTTACATGTATGTGATTGATAGCATATATACCCTGATAAGTACAAACATTTTCTCAGAAATTTAAAAAAATCTTTCCCTGAAGTAGTTTCTCTGCGGGGAAACAAAACATAGACCTAACTAATACATCTTATATCTCTGAAATTTACAACATTAATAACTCAAAGTAATTTTGAGGTCTTTGGAGACAGTCATTTCTAAATTTGGAAATAAAAAATGATGCCGATGAGAAATTAGGAAAGAATCTTGAGCTTTATTGATCCTTAGACTGAAAGAAGGAAGACCAATGCAGGATCTTACAGAGATTTAGCTTTGTAGTTCTCATTCTTTAAGTATGTTTCCAGGTGGCAGCTGTAATTGCAAGGTGACTTACATGTGATGTTTATGTTCACCTGAGGCAGACCTGAGTTCTGGCTGAGGTTCATAGGGCACTGTCCCTGTATCCAGCAGAGCCTGAATTACTAGATAGTTAACACTTTCAGAGATCCCTATTTGTATATTAACTTTAGACAAGCTTATTATTCAAAGTGGTATTATTGTTTAGACGCAATTTAATTTCTGCAAAATAATTTATTAGGCCCATAGCAGCATTGAGGACTTGCTTCTCAATAAAGTCTATAGCTTTTATAAAGGAAACAATAAATCACTTAGTGATAGCTACAGACAAGGCTCGCACTGCATTGATAAAAGTAAAAGGATAAAAGGAAAAAGAAATTGGATTCCATTGCTGTCTAAACTCAATACATATATCCCTTGCTTTTCTACTTTTTAGGTAACTAAGGCTACTCTTATTAGAATTCTGAATTTATGAACTAATGTACACACATTTTTCTCCTATACTAAAACACAGCTTCAGAACCTGTTATCTGAACTCTGGGTCTTTTCAGAGCCAGGTTTCAGGTCCTCATGCAGATGAATAATGCCACTCTACACACTCAGAAACCTTCAATAACATTGTATTATCTACAGCAGAAAATCTAGATTCTGGCTAGGCACAGTGCTTCATGCCTGTAATCCCAGCTCTTTGGGAAGCCGAGGCCGGAGGATTGCTTGAGGCCAGCAAGTTTGAGACCAGCATGAAAAATAGAAAAATTAGCTGTGCCTGGTGGCGCATGCCTGTAGTTCCCAGCTACTTGGGAGGCTGAGGCGGGAGGATCCCTTGAGCCCATGAGTTTGAGGTTGCAGTGAACTATGCTGACACCACTGCACTCTGGCCCTGGCGACAGAATATGACATTGTCTAAATGAAAGAATGAATGAATGAATAAAAAAATTCTGTCTTGCTCTCCATAGATTGGTCTCAGTCTTTCTTTTTTGGCTTTATCTATTACTGCTCCTCTTAAGCCGATCACTATACTGTCCCCCAAATGTACTGGGCTCATTTCTTCTTAGGAAGCTTTGACCACACTCTTCTATCTTTTCTCTCCCTGTCTGATTCCAATCTTTCAAGACTCAGCTCATTTTGAACCTCCACAGGGGAGCCTTTCCTGAATTCCATCCTCCTATTCCTCACTGTGAGTATAAATTATTAAGTCCCTCAATCTTGAAGGCTGCTTGTTTTTTTTTGTTGTTGTCGTTGTTTTTAAATAGAGATGGGGTCTCACTCTTGCTGAGGCTGGTGTGGGGAACTCCTGGGCTTAAGCAGTCCTCCCGCCTTGGCCGCCCAGAGTGCTGGGATTACAGGTGTGAGCCACCACACCCAGCCTAAAGGCTGCTTGTAATGTAGCTTGCTAAGACCCCTTCTTCAAGTCATCAGAGAAGAGCCTTTCCAGACCTCTTGTCCCCTTGATTTACTTTCCCCTTTTCACCCTTCTACTAGAAAAGATGGTTTAGGAATAAAGATCCAAGTTGTCTTTTAGGAAAAAGAAATTGAGTGTATGTTTAGATATTTGATTCACTTAAATTTGTTTCTGTATTGTTAACAGGGTCTCTATGTGACCAACCCTGTGCTAGGTTCCCAGTAAGAGGTAACTTCTTGTCCTAGAAATATTCAAGCAAAAGCTTTCAGGTGTCTCGCCCTCTGTCAGGGGTGCTGCAGAATCAAGTATAGGGTAGGTAGTGGAGCTAATTGACCTCTAAGGCCTTTCCAACTGTAAGATGTCTGCGAACTGTGTACATATGAGACTCTCAACTAACGTATAAATTCCTTGATGTAACATCTGCACATTGTTCATCTAAGCCAGTGTTTTTCAAATTGTGGGTTGTGACCCACCTGTGAGTCATGAAATCAATTTAGTGGACCATAATTAGTGTTTTTTAAAATAAAGTGGAAAAATATAAAAGCATAGGAAATATCCAAGTAAATCAGTCATAGAAGGAGGGGTTATTATTTTATGAAACTTTTGTTTCAATGACGAATACATATCTATGCTTTATAAAATAAAATACATTTCTTCTGCAGGTCATTCTCAAAGAAGTTTGAAAAACATTCATCTAAGCCAGTCCTGGCTGACTAGAAGGCAACTCAAGAAATAGGCGTTGCTGGGTGTGGTGGCTCACACCTGTAATCCCAGTACTTTGGGAGGCCATGGCAGGAGGATTGCTTGAGGCTGGGAGTTCGAGGCTGCAGTGAGCTATGATGGTGCCACTGTACTCCAGCCTCAGTGACAGAGCAAGACTCTATCTCTAAAAAGAAAGAGAAAGAAAAAAAGAAAGAAATAGTCATTGGATATATAAATGACAACTCATACTGTCCAAGGCAAAATCTTAGCTGTAAAAATTAAGTGCCGCTATATTTTAAAAAGCTGACATTGTGTGGGTGTTTATAATAAAACATAAAACTAAATTTTCACAAGTCTTTGTAAAACTAGTAGAGACTGTAATTCTGCTGTCAAGATGTAAGTTTGGCACATCAACCTGGTACTTAGCAACAACAATATTCAATTTATTAAATTTTTGTTAGGAAAAGATAGTTTTTAGGATCTCAGGTGTCCCTGGGGAGGGATATATTAATATTTATATTTGTATCTTCAGCTTCATTCCTAGCTTTTTTTTGTTTAGGACTCTAAAATTGTCAAGCTGGACTTGTTGGACTTGGCTAGGCTTAGGAGAATTCAGGAGAGCACAGTTCTTGGGTCAGAGTGCTCGGGCAGCTGATTGATCCCCGGCAAGCCATTTTACTTTGCTGACCCTCAGTCATGTCCTCTAGAAGTGGGGACAGTGACACTTGCCTACGCACCTGAGAGACTCGATGCGTGGGTCTAATGAAATCACGAATATAACAAATATTTGGAAAAGTACTATGTTGAAATGTTTCAAAATAAAATTTAAATCCTCCACCATTTAGAAAGGATTTCAGGCAGTTAAATGCAAAGGTATAAATTTTTTTTATTATTGAGATTTCTGAGTTGGACTCTAGTCACTGTCTTAGCCCAGCTCTGCCACTCAGCTGCGTTCCTCCGTTGCTCTAGCAGGCAGCTCTGAATGCTGGGCTTCGTGTCGGTCTTCCGTGAGTGGGGTGAGGGGCACAGTCATCTGGCACTTTCACCTGCAGTTCCATGCATGTCTGTCCAGTGCTTGCTTATTTTCCCTTTCTGGAAACATTCCGTGCATGCCGTGGGCATTCAGTACACTTCTGTAAGCAGGGGTAGGAGTGGCACACCGGGGAGATTTAAATGCAAAGACAGGACTACTGCTTTGCCATAGGAACCTTTACAGCCAGAAGTGAA